CCAAAGAATTGATGAAGACACTACATAACTAAACATGCGTGAGGTGCCCTCCCTCCCACCGCTAGAGCAACCTGTGGAGGTGAGGAACCCTAGTGACATGAAATATGATGCCCATGTTCCTAGGTCGCAGTGGCGTAGTTGGAGGGTGGATTAGGACCACCCTGTACATCGGCCCAGTACTTCATTATACCCGCAAAATAAAATTGGTAGGCCGCAACGCACGTCGAAGGACTAACTTCAAAAAGTACGACTGCACAATCTATAGCTAGCTCCCTCATTCCTTCCTATGTTCTAGGTATACGCCTTTCCCAAGAAAAGTTCCATCGCGTGCTTAAAATATGTTTCCTTGTACGCTAGAGGATGGACTTGATGACTCTAAGTCTCCAATCGACCACACCGTGATAGCGAACCCTAGCGTTCAGCGATGTAGAAGCCTATGGCACATGGGAAACATAGGGCGAAGGAGTGTGAGGCAGGGCTAGTAACGTGTGCACGGGGCAGATCAAGCCACCGAGGTAGGAACTCCACTGACCTCACATCATTCCAATTTAAACTATAATTTTCATTCTCAATTCAAAGTATGATTTCGCCTTTAAGGTTTATCTGTGATTACAAATAGAAACTCAAAATGGATAAATGAAGCCAACTGACTATGATGGTTATGGGTTCATTCAAAATGATAATTAAAAATTAAACCTTTTTATTGTAGAGTTCTTGAAAAATTAAACTTACGGATATATTATTTTCATAAATTCTATACTAGTATGCAGTGGTGGAGCTAGACGATGGGTTCGTTTGGATCCTTCTTGTGCTTTCCATGCCAATATTGGCGCACAAAAATAACTGGCAGCGGATTCGCCTGCCAGCCAGTCACCAAAATATTGGCTAAGAAACCAACTAAGAATGTTGTTGGGGCTAGGGCAAACCAAAATATTGGACGAGAACCAAACGGAGACCAGCATTGAAGTCAACACCAAATATTTAGGCAGGTTGCTCATAGGGTGCCAAACCAAACAGACCCGATATCTTTTCCTGCTGTTGGCAAAAGACAAACCATGAGTGTTTGGGGGAGGGGGAGGGGGAGGGGGAGAACAATGGCTAAAAAATTCCCATCTAAGCCCTCCCATGTTGTTTTAATAAATTAGTTCAAAGCTAGGGGAGGGGGGATTGCCTCCCTCATCTTAACACATAGTTCCATCTCTCCTAGTATGTTGAAATGTTGCATTTCTGGTGTAAATATTTTTTATATCAATTCGACCACTCTAGCTCCTACCACCGTGTGGCTAAATGCACCACTCAACCTGCACGCAGTAGGCTGGGCGGCTTACTGAGATATTCATCTTGTACGCAGTAGGCGGGGGCA